AAGATGGGGTTGTAATACTACTTTATTCGACTGCACTAAAAAGTATAAGGAAGCCAATGCTTTTCTTTTTTTCCTCTTTACCCTACATTTCTTTCTTTCCTTTTTTCCCCTCCCTCAGTTTCCCACTATTTTATACTTTGATAAGTTTAATAAAATATTAATTTAAAAAGATTGTTCTTTTACAGTATTTGTTCTGAATCCATTGTAGTTGTTCAATGAATAGTAAAGTGAAAATACAGGTAGTCCTTGTTTAGCGGCTACGTTGGACAACAACTGCTCAGTTAGGATGGTGATGAAAATTAACTTTGGAACCAATCCTTAAATTTAGGATCCTCACAGGTCTTCAAGTAAAGGATAGTTGAAGTAAAGGTAGTCCTCAACTTATCACCACAATTGGGAATAGAATTTCCATCATAGTTTGTTGACCATTGCAGTTGCCAAGTCATCATGTGACTAGACCCGATTTTATGGCTATTTTAATCTGGTCATAAGTCAAGTCAGAAGTGTGTATCTAGCTTAATCAGTGGCATTTTTTCCTGGAAACCAGAAAAAAAAGGACTGCAAATTGCACTTATGCGACCACAGGATACTGCAAGCAGTCATAAATGCAAGCCAGTTGCCAAGAGCCCAAGTTTGCAATCATGTGACCATGGGGACAGAATGGTTATAAGTTTGAATTTAGATCATAACTGATGTTTTCAGAGGCCCTCATTAATTCAAATAATCATTAAGCAAACAGTCATAAATTGAGGATTACCTATAAGTTTATAAGCACAGTTGCAGTTTTACTACTTTGCTTAATGATCAAGTTGTCAGTCCCAAATTGTGGTTGTTAAGCAAGAACTACTTGTAAGTGGCATTCATGATAGCTTCAGTGTAGTAACAGTCACCTTGGTAATATTATAGATTTTTCATACTGAACTGTCTCATTTGTATAAAACAAAGTTTCTCCCCTGAAGTCCATGCATTTGAAGTTAAAACTGTTTACACCAAATAATTCCTTTAAGATTTGTGCATAAATTCCCAGTCTATCATATCCTTCCTTTGGCCAAATACTGAACATTCTTTTCTTGCCCTAGCTGTTGTCTTTGGCTATAAGAATCAATGTTTCCATTTTAAATAAAGTCCCTGAGTTTTTAATAGAGCATATCCAGTTTCTCAATAAACATTAGCTTTTTATCAAAACAGCTGTTTTTAGTCACTGTAATGTAAGCTTAATCAGATGGAATTAGTTAATGATTGGTGTGTGCGTGTGTTGTATATGAATAGAGAAACTTAAAGCTGCATTGCTGTTCTGTTGCTGAAATATGAATATAATCAACTCATTTAAAATGGAGGTATGCTCCAAATTAAAATCATTCAAGAAAACCTATTTTCCAAAGCACCTGAAGGCAGGACAAGAAGCAACGGGTGGAAACTAATCAAGGAGAGAAGCAACCTAGAACTAAGGAGAAACTTCCTGACAGTGAGAACAATTAATCAGTGGAACAGCTTGCCTCCAGAAGCAGTAAATGCTCCAACACTGGAAGTTTTTAAGAAGAGACTGGACAGCCATTTGTCCGAAATGGTGTAGGGTTTCCTGCCCGAGCAGGGGGTTGGACTAGATGACCTCCAAGGTCCCTTCCAACTTTACTACTACTATTATTATTATAAGTAAAATGTTAGGTTAATATCATACACACTCTCTATATAATGATTTGACTTTATAAGATGCAACTTATATTATCATTGTAGGGATGGGCGAAGGAAGCAAGAGTGAAAGGTGCATTGTCACTTGTGACACGAACTCCATCTTGTACATACTTGCATGTGACATTAAGCAAGTATATAATCATGACCTCACAACATACATGTCATTATAGTTAGCTGTGGTTGCCTTTATTATCACTAGTCAGGCTCCAGCACCATACTATTTGAATGCCATGAGCATTATTATTTATTAGTACCCAGCTTTTATTTTTACAAATAACTCAAGGCAGCAAACATTTAGGTTCCTCTGACATCTAAGTTTGGGTTTCACGAGTTTCATCTTTGCTACAGTAGCATATGGTTTAAGCCTCCCAGAGTTACGTCTAAGAGGTGATCCAGGACGATTACAAAGCCCTGACTGTAGAGTTTTTCCTTTTACTGTACTTGCTTTTCAGTCATTGCCATGTTCTTGAGTGTTCCTGTCACTTTGGGTCTACATCCATCTTGGCCTCTCAGTCTAAGTTTGCTGCTCTGTCCCTTGTTTGTGCTTCTTTTGGGATTATGCATTCACTTTTGAGTTGTTTGTCCAAATACTTCCTTATATTCACAAAAATTAAACATTCAAAAGTCATCTAAAATGTATTAAGAAAATCTGTTAACTCCAAGATAATACATCTTTGAGCAATTGGTGATACACTATTGACCAAATATAAGAGCTTCATGTCCAATGGAATGCACAATATGATTCCTTTGGCCTTAAGCTTAGGAAGAATTCATATAGGATTGATGTGTGGAAACCTTGACAGATGTCTCTGCTTACTCCTGTAGATCTCATCAATATTCATTATCTCCTTCCCCTTTGGAGATCTAAATGAGAGTGAAGAAGCTGAACCTCTTATAGATGAAATACAAATATTGATGGTTGGGAAATCTGACGATGTTCTATACTAGCTTACTTGGGATGAGATTTAAAAATCCTTCTGAAAAAATTGGTGCAGAAGTGCTCCTGGCTTCAGCAGTATCTTTATGTATCAAATAATGTAAATGGTTAGGAATGACTTTTACTAGCTTTTGCTAGTTGCATACTAATGGCCTGATTAGAAGAGAATTTATTTTCAGTTGTTATGATCTATTTTCACTTTATGCTTTACTGAGGTAAGCTATAGCAGCATAGTAGCTAGGTTCACACATCACAATATAGCTCAATACAATTTGCTTGTTTTGGTTTAGAATGTGTGTTAAACTATCTTTTATAGTTTAGGGTTCTATGAGAGCAATTTTCTTGTCAGGTTCAGAAAGTATAATATAATCACGAAGTCCTGCCTTAGCACAATGTATGAATGTAACCCCTCTACATAAAGCAGTCTATAAAAACAAACTGGCAGCTACATTTAATATAAAATCATGATGCCTGTCCTTGATCAATTATGCTGTTTATTATCTCTTTTTTAATATTCACCTTAAAAAACTAGAGATGACTTTTATTGCCATACAAGGGACCTGAATGGGGTAATGAAAGTTGTTATTCAAAACATCTTGAGAATGTTTTATTTGTATTTACTTACTGAGCTTTATATGCCACTTGGTTACATTTGTAGTTTTAAGAAAGATTAAATAATAATTAGAATAATAGAATATTCTCACGTGTCACACCAAGAAACAACAAAAACTTACCAGAAAAACACTTCCCACCCTGCACAGATGGAATTGCCACTACTATCAGCTCTAAATGCCTCTTGAACCCTAAAAGTGAAGGTGATTGACAGAAGTGACTAACTACCCCCATTGTTGGTAAGATCTTCCCTTCCTAGGAATAGGCACTTCCCTTCCAGTTATTATTAGGCACACAGATAGTATTGGGAATGTTTTAGCCTCCAGCCCACTACACATCTTTGTTGCTCTTCTCTGCAAATTTTTCTTAAGAGTCTCAACATCTTTTTTGTAACATGGTGACTAAAACTGGATGCAGTGTTCCAAATGTGGTTTTAGCAAAGCAGTATAAAGTAGTACTAAAACTTCACGTAATCTAGATTCTATCCCTGTTGATGCATTCTAAGATTGCACTGGCTTTTTTTGGCAGTTGCAGCACACTGCTGGCTCATGTGGTTGTCCACTAGGACTCTTAGTTACTACTGTTGAGCCAGGTACCATTTATTGTATACCTGTGCATTTGCCTTTTCTTGCCCAAGTATAAAACCTTACTTTTCTCACCATTGAATTGCATTTGTTGGATAGGGTCCAATACTCAAGTCTGTAAATATCCTTCTGGATCTTGAGCCTATCTTGAGCCTAAAGTGTTGATTATTCACCCCCAGCTTGGTGTCGGCTGCAAATTTGATGAGTTCCCTTTTTATTCCCTCATCTAAATCATTTACGAAAATGTTGAAGTGTACTTGGTCTAGGACAGAACCTTTGGATATTTCACTGCTTACTTCCCTCCATGTACATGTAGTTCCATTAAGGACTACAGCTTAGTATGGTTGGTCAGCTAGTTGCAAATCCATTTGGTGGTGATACTGTTGATCCCACACGTCTTATAAAGAAGTTGCAGTCTACTTTGTCAAATGCCTTACTGAAGTCCAAGTATACTACGTCCACAGCATTTCGCTGGCCCACTAATGTAGTCATTTTGTAAAGAATGCAATAAAGTTTGTCTGGCAAACCCATGCAGTCTTCTAGTAATAGCTTTGCTTGGTTTCTAAGTGTTTCTAACTGGATAATAATGAGGGTGTCAATCAGTGTAAATTACAATAAGTAGAAACATAAATCAGCTAATACTTCCCATGTCACTTATGCAATGAAGTACTTCTCTTTTAAGGATTATGCAAAAAGTAAATAATAAAGCGTGTATGTGATTGAATTCTTCAGCAGAGCCTAAAATTCAGTACTCAAAGGACCCATGCGCATCACAGTTCAATTCTGTAACCGCAGTGAAAGAAACTCAGGACCTTGTTTAGCCTCAGCGTAATACATTGGAACACATTACTACATAGATGCACCAATGCCTAAATCAGGCTTTCTCAATTTAAAATCTTTGAAATGCGGCATGCTAAATCCCCCATTGTTCTCCCATCAGTGGTAGTTGCTGTAATCCAAAGCCATCTAAATGGACTCCAGATCGGAGAAACCTGATTTAAACCTCAGCCCTGGGAAAATATTGTCGTTTCGAATATGGGTACAGGTAGGTCAGCACCAGGCATGCCCACGCCAATCTCACCCGCTCTTCAACCACCCAATAATATCTAGTACAGCCGCTCGCCTCTGCCCTCAGCTCAGGCTACCCGAAATGCAACGCGTTTGGTGTCGAGCGTTGTATTTCGGACAATCAAAGATGGCGGGCGGCACGGGTTGAGCGGAGCCGGGCGTCGGCTCGGCTCGAATTTAGAAGCGCCGCAGCCTTCTCTCTCTCTCTCTCTCTTCCTGGAAAGTTGTCGGTGAGGAAGCCGGCGGTGAGGGATAAGGAGGGCAGGCGGTCAGGTGTCGTCGACACGGGGGTTCTCTCGGCTCCACCCTGCCCGCCCGCGCCCACCCCACCGCTCCACCGCACTCGAGGGGTAGCTGTAAAAAAGCCGATCTTTTAAAAGGAAGGAGAAAAGGCGGGTGCTGCTTGATAGACAGGCAAGGATCCAGGGCCGCGAAAGGAGTAGGCCTGCTGTAGTTAATAACCTGACCTACGTTCATAGTCCATTAATAAAAGGTAGGCGAGGTCCTCAAGGGAAGCTCTCTCCTTTTCTTCAAGGTAGCGATGGCTGTGTAGATCTGGGGGAAGTGTTGGATTTTGACAAGTGGAGCCCTGCTCAAAAGATGGATTTTTAGATCAAAGTGGTATATATTTCTTATCATCGTCATGAGATGTTATTTTAGGCTCGTTGGAGAAGGAACTGAATAGAATTGTAGGAATCCGAAGAAGAGGATCTAGTCTTAGTTGCAATAACAAATATGGCATTTTCTTTGACTATTACAAAACATCATATGCTTAAAACGCTCAGCAAATTTCTACCAATCTGGCCCAGTTTGTTGATGAAAGTACTTTGCTGTACCACTGTTATAAAATCAGGCAGATGGAAGATAGCTTAGGTGTTTAAATCTTTGCATGAATGGCTCCTGTCTTCTGGATCCACTCCTGGAAGTCCTGAAACTGTTGTAGCCAATTGAAAGCTCAGTGTGCTGACTCTCAAACCTCTCTGGGAGAAGAGCCAGGTGAAATGAACCCCTTAAAAAAGGTGCATTTGGGCTGTGAGACCTTACTTCACAGAGTAGTAGCCAGAACAATGACTTTTTCCTTATGAAATTATTTGCACAGATAAATATTATTTTCCTGTAAAGTATCAGATTCTTGTTTTTATTGGATTGGGTATGTTTTAGATACTTAGGGATGTTGCTTTTCTGTGGATGTCTTTTGGATGTTGTTTTTCTGTGGATGTATATCCCTATACAAGAGATTGGACAACCATCTCTTGTATAGCTTGAGCAGGGGGTTGGACTAGTAGACCTCCAAGGTTCCTTCAACTCTGTTCGGTTATTTTCAGGTCTATTTTAAAATCATACAGAAATGAAAGGAAATGTTACTAAAAAGGATAATTAGAAAAATAAGCTTTCTGCTTAAGATTTATTTTAAAGACATTGTTGCACTAGTTTTGACTTATTGTTTTTCTTTTAACTGAAGCCAGAATTTCCAGTGTTCATTTTCACTTAGACTTTTGAGAATTGGACTACAACTTGAGAGCATCATTTGCAGAAGTCTGGACTAATTTCATCCTACCTTCTTTTTGTTTTTATTTATTCTGTGGCCTGGAAATAACTTCCTCCAGGTATTGTCTTGTATTGCTGATGCAGTTATGTAAATACTATAGATGACTCTCACCAGCAGAGTGTTAATTGGATGCAAAAAACTTTCAGAAACTGTCTGTCCCTCTCTCCATGAAGAGAAAGTGGCAGCTTTGCCTTGTGGCTCTATCTGGGATGCCAGCTGTACCCCATAACTGCATTGGATGGCCGTCCAAATAGTCACTCACGCTCCTGTCACCTCCTGCATTTACTATTATAATGTGGTCTACAGGGGCCTTGTCACCTCATGGCCTTACTATTGCAATGCATTCTGTATGGAACTGTCACTGAACATTATTCAAAAAACTTCAACTGATAAGAATGCAGTGGCATGAGACTGCCAAAGACCTAACTTGGCATGGCCAAATGACACCCTGCTTCATAAGTTATACTGATAGCCAGTGTGCTTCTGGTACAATTCAGGATACTAATTATTATTTACAAAACACTACTTGGCATGGGCCTAGTTATTTGATCAATATTTGCTTATCTTCTGTAATCAATAAGAGCAATGGACTGTGTTCCAGGTCCTCTCATTCTCTATCACGGCATCTGTCCTCTGGAATGAGGTCATCCCTGAGATCTGGAAAGTTCTTATCCTGATGGCATTCAGGAAGGCCTCAAAGATTTGTCAGGCCTTGGGATATTTATTTAGTTATTAAATTTTTATGCTGTCCATTTCCTCTATAAAGTGACTCTGGGAAGCTTACAAGTTAATGTAGTGGTAGATGGAATCGTTTTTGTTAGAAGTGGTTGCTATTTTTGTTTTTATCTTAATGTGATTATTTTTTTTACTATATGTTTTATTTGTGTTATTGTATTTGTATTCTGTTTTATATTATGAGCAGCCCTGAGTCACTTTGAAATCAGACAGAACCAAATGCCAATCAATATAAGTAGTCCTTGTGTTACAACCATAACTGAGCCTGGCATTTACTGTTGTAAGTTGTGACACTTGTACCATTTGACCAGATCCAATTTTATTACATTTTTTCATGGTGATACTTAAGCAAATATGGCAGTTAAGTAAATCCATTGTTTGCTGTGGTGCGTTTTTGTTGGAAACAGAAAGTAAACGTCAGTTTCTAACAAAGCCATCATAAATAGCAGTCATGTGACTATACAGTATTGCAAATGTCAATAAATACAGGCTGGTTGCTAAGTGTCCAAAATGTGGCTTTGTGATTGCAAGGAGAACCACATCGGAATTTCAAAATCAGGTTGTAAATAGCTTTTGGGGGTGTCTGTCATAATTTTGATTGGTCCTAAATAAAAGTGTAAATGATTCCTCAGCCTTGCCTAAGGAACTAGAATAAAGTCCCCAACCTTTTGTGGGCACTAGGGACCAGTTCCTTGTAGAGAGGTTTTTCCACCGACCAGAGGGTGCGTGGTTTTGTGAGTTGCCTGCATCCTGCGGATGGGGCTTTGCTTGTTTGTGCGGCCTGGTTGCTGGCATGCCACGGTCTGGTACTAGTCCACGGACCAGGGGTTGGGGACCCCTGAACTAGAGTATAGGGTTAGGATTGTAGACCAAAATGTTTCATGCCAAGGATCCTGGGCTCAATCCCTAGGCAATGTTTGCACTGATTGGGAAATGACCAGACTGGGTAAAAGTGTTTGAGATGTTTTCTGTTACATTTGTCCCAGATTTCTTGCCTTGTGTGTATATTACTTCTGCATTGGCCTTAAATGTCCTGCCTTCAGGACGTTTAAATAACGCTTTTATTTCAGTGTTAGATGCCTGTGTTTCAAGTATATGAAAACTTTCATATGAAGAGCTATTCACTTGTTAGGATTCTTTGTGGAGAAAATGGTCTCAGTTTGAGAACAATGAGCATCATATAGGCAGCACTGTAATAGAGATAAAAAAGGAATCTATGGTGCTGGTTATGTTGTTAATTAATGGCTTTTCTTACCATTATTCAAAATACTGCTGCAAAATAATTTCTTCAATAATACCCATTCTAACAGAATAAACTTGTGGAGTCGGTTTCCTAATATATTCTTGCGTGTTCTTTATATTTGTGGATTGAAGAAATTTCTAAAGCATTCCCATTTGGGAATGGGAGTAGAACAAAAAGAATTTGGGAATGCCCAGTCCATGAGCACAAATCTCCTTGCATAATATTTGATATAATCCTTAGCTTTCTGCAAAGATCTTTAAAGAAATGGAAAATATGCTGAGAGAGAGGCAATAATTTTTAATCTATGAAGAAATCTAGCTATTTTTTTTCTTTTATTCTTCAGTAGTGTATCATTCTTGCAGTCAGAATCAGAGGAAAGATTGAGATGTATTTTTGGCTCTGTCCTCTATCAAATCCTCTATTTGTTATGGTCCTATACATGTCTCATTCAAGTACTAATTGGGTTTGACCCTCTTTAGATTTTTTCTGCTCAAACAGAGTTGTGTAGCTATTCTCACTTAAGGTGGTGGTCTGGCTGATTGTTCAATTTCTTTGTACTTTTTTGGAATATTAAAAATTGGGTTTTTAAGTTGTGCAGAGTATAGAAATAATTAGGGAACTCTCCCTGTTGCAGTAGTGAATTTTTCATTGTGGACAGCAGTGGGAATTCTAGCACACAATGGAGCCAATAGGTCAGGGGTGTCAAACTGGCGGCCCACGGGCTTGGATGCATCACATCCCGGCCACACCCACCCCGGCTCCGCAAAGGCAAAAAAGTCACATAACACAATCAAGTTTGACATCCGTGCAGTAGGTTGATCTCTATTCTTTCTTATGCATGTGTTTTTAGAGAACAACAGATGCCTATTCTCAGCCTCCAGCTATTTCTTGCTCGAACAGCAGAATTGAAGATTTGTTAGCTTTTTAAATAGATGGCGTTTTCAGTATTGGTTTTAAGGGATATAAAAGTGATTGTTTTTACAATATTTGTAATCAAAATGGTTATTTTCAGTCCTATGATTGCATCACCTAGTGTTGGAACCTTTTCTTATCTGAATAAATCTACCCCTATAAATCTATTTAATGAATAGGTGGCTCCTTGGAGGATGCTGATTGGCACAATAGCTATTCTTTATATTGAATCTGCTCAGAGGAATGGATCCTGAAAAATCTGTAGATTGTTTTTACATATTAAATATTTCTCTGAAATGTTTATGTAAATATAAGTAAATTGAAGTTTTGTCAATTATTCAGTTGCTTCTAAACCAATTCAGTAATAATTTGCAAACAATTGTACTAGCTGAATTTTAATTGTTATTAACTTGATGTATACAGTGAGAACTGCACACGGAACCACTGATTGGTTCAAATTTGGGAAAGGAGTCCGGCAAGGCTGCATTATGTTGCCCTGCCTATTTAACTTATATGCAGAGCACATCATGAGAAAGGCAGGGTTAGATGAATCAAAAGTTGGAATTAGGATTGCCGGGAGAAATATCAACAACCTAAGATATGCAGATGATACCACTCTAATAGCAGAAAGTGAACAGGAACTAAAGAGCCTCTTGATGCGGGTGAAGAAGGAGAGTGCAAAAGTTGGCTTGAAACTCAACATTAAGAAAACCAAGATCCTGGCATCCGGCCCTCTCAATTCCTGGCAAATAGATGGGGAAGAAATGGAGGTAGTGACAGATTGTATCTTCCTGGGCTCCAAGATCACCACAGATGGGGACTGCAGCCAAGAAATTAAAAGATGCTCCTAGGGAGGAAAGCTATGGCAAATCTAGACAGCATACTAAAAAGCAGAGACATCACCCTGCCAACAAAAGTCAAGGCCATGGTTTTCCCAGTTGCAATGTATGGCTGTGAAAGTTGAACCATAAGAAAGGCTGAGTGCAAAAGAATTGAGGCCTTTGAACTATGGTGCTGGAGAAGACTCCTGTGAGTCCCCTGAACTGCAAGGCGA